GCTAGAGTGGCTGTAGCAGCATCTTGTAATTCTAGCCATCATGGGATTAGTTTATCATTGAGTGAGGAACTTCTTCCTCAAAGAATAGGCATAAGATCCATTATATCATACACCATGGAAGGTCATTATTTTCACGCTCTGGGTTTTTTACATCATTTTTTAACAAGAAAATATAGAATAATAAATCCACCACCTCTGAGCCTCTTTTTTGTTAAAAGTACATGCATAAACTTAGAAGTGTTGATGTTCTTATGCCTCAAAGACGGATATTATCTTCCAATTCTAATGGACGAGTCCACAGCTTCTGTATTTTGAATCCAAGTACAAGATGGTTTTCTAAAGACAACCTAATAGCCAGAGGCCTCAATTTCTAAGGCTGTCATATTCCAAAATACCAGGAGAAAATAAGACAAACCATCTAATTAGCAAATAGATGATGAATAAGAACTGAGGCCAAAAACCCCAAATAAGCTTAAACTTGAAAAACACTGAATAGTCATAGATGCCAACGCCCCAAACTGATGGAGTAAGACCAATATCATAGAATCCAGAATGCTGACTGGCTAATGACGTAAATAAGCCAGTCAACAAATTTCATCCAAAAAAAAAGTAGTTCTTCTCAATAGACAAATAGCTAAAAGGAACAAAATTGGAGAAATCATAACGCTATGCATTTACATCCATTTCTTTTTCATGAATTATTTTGTTTAAGTAATAAAAATAAAGAAAAACAAAATGACCCCGGAATACATGAGGATGATTAAAAAGCCTTACAATCTCTAATCAAGAAAGACAGCATTTCTATCAATGACAGTATGGAAGACCATCATTACGTCATGATTGCAGAGTTTGGTTAGCCATAGTAACTCTGAGTTTTAACCTGGAAGTTCAAAGGGCAACCCATAACAGGATTACTGATGCAGGTTTTGAATTACCATTCCTTGTAGTAAATATTTTAAAGTTAGAGCATGCTTTTTCATTAGCCTTTATTATCACAACCCATATATAAGGATGTTTCTAATACTTCTTTTTATGATCCCTCATCAAAACATTGGAACTCTCTTTTGGATAACACAGAATCATATTGAGAATTTTTAGGTTCTTTAGGAAATTTCAACCCCAAAGGTTGTCGATGGTGGATGAAGAAATTTTTTGTAGAACTATATCAATAAATACTTCGTTGTATAGTATATTGAACTTTTGCTATAGCCCCAAAGAATATACCAACATCTCTGGGATGTAAAAAACTAAAGGAATAAAATCAGCTACTTTTCTCAAATTTTTACTTGCTTTTTTTTTTTTGATAATGTTAACCTTTAATATATAAGAGAGAGGAAGAGAACAAACAAAAAGCAGAATCAAAATCCTCTTTTAAGAGGTTATAGTGAGGCACAACAACCTAGGAAAACAGGTTGTTGATTCGCAAAACACGAGAAAAGGCCAAAAAACCAAAACAAAAAGATCTAAACGTTAGCATCGCCACTGCTTCTTTTGTCAGGGACGCAACGTCTTGATTTCCTTCCCTCCAAGTATGCATCCACACGACAGACATATTCCTGCAAAGATTATCAACCTCGTCAAAGACTTGTGCCAAAGACGAAGGAGGGGGGGAGGAAGACAGACTATGTGCCCAGGTAATGGTGTTCTTGGAATCACCCTCCACTACAAGCGAATATAGTTGAAGGGGTTGTATGAGTTTTTAGCCTTCCAAGAGAGCTAGTGCTTCAGCCTCCATGGAGCCGTTGGCTAATGTGTTTAGATGTTGTAGCCACAATAGTACCGAGGTAGTCTCTGAGGATTGCTCCTATCCCTGACGGGCTGGGGTTGCCAAGAGAGCACCCGTCAAAATTGAGTTTTACGATGCTCGGACAAGGGGGTTTCCATCTGTAAGCCCTTTGCAAATGCAGTTGATGGAGTTGAAGAATATTTGTCCAGTCTTGGCTGAAAGTCGAGGAAACAACTCCTTTGAAACACTGATGATTGGTCGCCCAAAAGATTATCATGGACTTAAGCTTGTTGAAAACTTTGTAGCAAGTTGAAAATTCACCCCTGAAAATTCTGTTGATGCGCTCAAGCAAGATGGCCCACAAAGCTGCAGCCACCATAGATTTCCAAAGGAGAATTCCAGCCTTGTGCCAAAGGTAATGTTGGATGGAGGTGAGGATGGAAGTCACCTCTTCTAGTAGCACCCATTGCACGTTAAACAATTTGAGGATGGAGACCCAAATGTTAAAGGCAAATGGGCCATGCAGTTGTAGATGGTCATTGGTCTCTTTAGCTTCGAGTCACACAACGCATCGATTAGGAATCGGGATCCCTCTTCTTTGCAATTGATCTACAGTGAGGATTCTCTGGGAGAGGGCCAACCACATGAAGATCTTGATTTTGGGTGGGGCGAAAGTTTTCCAGGCTTTGGCTGCAACAGCGTTAGGAGCTAGAGGGAAAGTTGGTGGGAGAGAAAGACTGTGACAGAAAGAGGAGACAGAGAAGGTTCCGTTGGGGACGGAGACCAAATAATTCGATCTTGACCTGAGAGGGAGAGGAAGCAAGATTGAAGTTCTGCCAAGAAGGTGGCAAAGTTTCCAATCTCTAGGTCCGTGAGAGCCGTTCTCAAGACTAGGTTCCAAGAGCGGGATGAACCTGCCAAAAGCATTTCTTGGGCTACCATAGTCTCTTGATTTCATGCTAGAGAAAAAAGATCAGGAAGTCTATCCCTAAGAGGAGTATGGCCCAGCCAAAGGTCGTGCCAAAAAAGGATGCGGTTTCCTTCTCTCAAGTGAAATCTTATGCGAGATTTGAAGGCAAAGAAAGCTGAGCAATAGACCTCCAAATACTAGATGACCTGTGATTATGTTAGATCTGACAGCCAAGGAGAGTTCGGGAGATGGTATTTGTGTCTAGGGATGTCAATCCATAGCTGGTTGTTTAAACTAGACAATCTCCAACACCATTGCCCAGCAGCGCCATATTTTGAGTTCTGAGATTCTTAATTCCCAGCCCTCCCCTTTTCTTGGTCTGATGAAGTTTATCCTACGCAATCAACTGGAATTTATTACTTGAATCATCTCCCGACCAAAAACATTTCCTCATCAATTGTTCGATTTTGGAGCTAACCGCAACGGGCATGTGGAAAATAGACATTTGGTATACCGGGATATTGGCGAGAGTGGCTTTAATTAATAATCTTCTTCAAAAAGATAATAATCTTCTTCAAAAAGAGAGGAAACGCCCTTTCCAGCTGGTTAGTGTACGATCAACTTTGTCTACTATGTGGGACCAAAGGCTTTGTTTAGGTTTGCCTATGCATAAAGGTAGGCCGAGGTGCTTAAATGACAGAGTCTCTACCCGACAGCCCCAGCTGATGGCGAAGTCCGAGAGGGTGGTAGAGTCAACATTGACCCCCATCATCTTGGTTTTATCAAGGTTGACTTTGAAGCCAATTGCAAAGTCGAAACACCTAAGGAATAGAAAAAGGTTTCTAGTTTCATCGTGGTTAGCATTGTAAAAGACCAAAGTGTCGTCTACATATTGTAAATGGGTAACCATGGGGGCTCGAGGACCAACTAAGAAGCCATGCAGGCGTCCTGCCGAACACATTCTTGAAATTGATCTACTAAAACCTCAGCTGCTATAGCGAAGAGGAAGGGAGAAAGGGGATCTCCCTGTCTAGTAGAAGGGAAGTAACCTTTGGGGGTTCCATTAATGATGATTGAGAAGTAGGGATGGGAGTAACACGCTCTCATCCAAGTCCTTCACCTAATACCAAAACCCATCCTAGATTGAGATTCTTCTAGTTGGTCCCAGTCTACATGATCGTAGGCCTTTTCCCAGTCGAGTTTGGTTACAACACCAGTCTTGTGTGGATGATTCATGTACCACAAGTGCCCCATCCAGGATACTTATGGTTTAGATACAAGAATTAATGTTATTTATTTTTCTATTGCATTCATTTGGCTGGCTTGACTACTTGGACAACAGTAAAACTGGATTGGCATGAACCACATTAGAAACTCTCCACTTCATAACCAGTTCAGTCCTGCTAAAACTGACAACTTTTTGTACTGGGAAAGAAATGGTGGTGCCATATATCACACGTGTATGTGTATTATTTGACCATCAATATAATTCAATGACCAGAAAGTTTTTAAACAAGCCATCTCCTAGGCCTAGTTGACTTGAGAAATCATATGCCATTCAACCATAGAGGTGAAATTAATTCATGTATAGATCAGCTAGTATCCTAAAAGGAAAAATTAACTAATCATAGGCTTTTAAAATAACTGCCTCAGCTGAACACTAAAACTAACAGTGAATATAGCATTAAAAAGCTGATTGAGAAACATCAGTATGTTAAAAGTAAACCAGTCCAAAAATAATTGTGCATCTAAGCCTATCATGAAATTTATATCCTCCACAAAAATTTGCAAGCTAGTCATGTAATTCCTTCTAGCATGAACAATGGCTTTGAACCTTCTAGAAGATGTCATCATTTATGATATTCAGCTACAACATGTTTTCCCCCTATGAGTTCAACGATATATAGCATGTCATCATGGATGATATCCAGCCACAACATGGTTTCCCCGAATGAGATCAATTATATAGAGCCAAATATTTAATATCTCAGAGGAACTAATCAGTGGGAACA